AAACACCACAGACGTTCAGGACGGAAATTGAAGATCGGAATTGATGAGAGAGGAAGGGATGCGAGAAATAGCATTGAAGATACTACGAATTTACAATACGATAAACAGAAAAACTAGGAAATATTCGCTCTACAAAATATTTATTGAGCTCTTTCAAGGTTTCAATATAACTTACATTTAGCTTAAATGTGTGTGTGTGTGTGTTTGTGTGTGTTTGTGTGTGTGTGAAGAAAATATTTTGAAGAGCCACAGAACTGGTACACCTGCTTAATAATCGTGTAGGACTCCCGCAAGTACGTGGAAGTGACGCAACACGACGTGGCATAGACTCGACTAATGTCTGAAGTACTACTGGAGGTAATTGAGTGAGAGTACGACGGGTGGAGATCTCTTCTGAACAGCACGTTGCAAGGCATTCCTGATATGATCAACGATGCTCATGTCTGGAGATGTTGGTGGCCAGTGCAAGTGTTTAAATTCAGAAGAGTGTTCCTGGAGCCATTCTGTAGCACTTCTGGACGTGTGGGCTGTCGCATTGTCTGCTGGAATTGCCCAAGTCCGTCGGGATGCGCAATGGACATGAATGGGTTCAGGTGATCGGACAAAATGCTTAGACGTACGTGTCACCTGTCAGAATACCATCACAGAGTCTCCACCAACAGTCCCATGTTGACATGCAGGGTTCATGGATTCATGAGGTTTTTGTCATACTCGTACACGTCCACCCGTTCGAAACAAAGTGAAACGAGACTCGTGAGACCCGGCAACGAGTTTCCAGTCATCAACGGTCCAATGTCAGTGTTGAGGGTCCCAGGCGATGCGTAGGTATTTGTGTCATGCAGTCATCAAGGGTACACGAGTAGGCCTTCGGCTGCAATTTTCCATATGGGTAATGTCTCGTTGAATGATTTGCGCGCTGAAACTTGTTGATGGCCCGGAATTGAGCAATTTGTGGAAGGGTTTACTTCTGCTCAGTCATCGTCGATTCCGTTCTTGCACGATGTTTTTGACACTCCAGCGATGCCGGAGGTTTGATGATTTATCGGATTCCCTATATTTACGGAACACGTAAAATAGCCGTGCTGTAAAAACCAAATTTCATCGCGATCACGGAGATGCTGTGTCCCATCTCTCTTGTGCCCACTATAACAACACATTCAAACTCACTTAAATCGTGATAACTTGCCGTTGTAGCAGCAGTAACCGATCTAACAGAATCAGAAGATGAATCGTTTTTAACGGTTCATAAGGTGAAATCGAAGTAGTTGGCGCAGAGCAATATTAATCATGCCGCTTTTCTTCTTCAACAGTTTCAAGACGTGCCTTTTCCTCTGTATGAGTGAGTTTTGAGGAAAGTTTTGAACCCATTATTTGATGTTTTACGTTCCCAATTAAGTTTTTTTCGAATTGTATAAACTCACCGATATGTTAACTACTTGAAAACGATGCATTTACAAACAAAATAGCAGATCATTACTATCACGTCGATACATCAGCTCGAATTGGCTGAGTCCGCAAATACAGGCAAGTTTCGATGAAAGTCACCTCGGGTTGCTGGGATCGGACGTTAACGAAATTTAATTACAATTGTTTTGACATCAAAACATTTTATAGATTTGAAGTTATACAGTCTTATCATCATTATGAATGGACTGGCAGGATCCCTCGCTTCCTACGCTGAAGGTTACGAAATCACGAGAGACATGTAGCCGGCGCATTCGACTCCCAGTACACTTATTTCATAGACCCAACTTGCACGCTGCGTTTCTGCGCAATTCTGTTTCAGGAACTTCAAAAATGGCACCGTGCAGTCATGTCGAGATTGCTCGTCCAAAGGAAGCATGTAAATCAGGTTTAAGATAGAATCAGACTGGAAGCGACGCGACAAGAAC